AATGAGAGTAACAGGGGCAGGGGTGATGGGAAAAGAAGGAAGGAAGGAGAGTAATGGTATGGGGGAAAGGATAGAGGGAAGAACGGAGAGTAATAGGGGTGGGGGTGTTGGGAAAAAATAGAAGAAAGGAAGGAGAGTAATAGGGGCGGGGTTGTGGGAAAAGACAGAAGGGAGAGTAACAGGGGCGGGAGGGGGTGTGGGAAAAGATAGAAGTTAAAAAGGAAAGTAGTTCCCAAAGGGCTAAGAACTCATAAGGGCATTTTCTATATACAGCCTTGTTGGATTGTCATATAGAGCCACATTGGAAAATTATATACGGCCATATTGGGTTGTCCATATAAGACCATGATGGAATATGATATACAGCCATATATAGGCCATGTTGGGTTGTCATATAAGACCACGATGGAATATGATATACAGCCATATATAGGCCATGTTGGGTTGTCATATAAGACCACGATGGAATATGATATACAGCCATATATAGGCCACGTTGGGTTGTCATATAAGGCCACGATGGAATATGATATACAGCCATATATAGGCCACGTTGGGTTGTCATATAAGACCACGATGGAATATGATATACAGCCATATATAGGACACGTTGGGTTGTCATATAAGACCACGATGGAATATGATATACAGCCATATATAGGCCACGTTGGGTTGTCATATAAGACCACGATGGAATATGATATACAGCCATATATAGGCCACGTTGGGTTGTCATATACAGCCATGTTGGAATTTCATATACAGAATTGCAATATTTGGCTCGCTGGAAGGTAGCTCTGGTGTTTAAAGTGTTATATCTGTATGCAGATTGTTACTATGTGACCAGCGTTGTGTTATCATGCAGAATGGGACGTTCCCTTTACTATTATGTCTCCTTCAGATTAAATTTTGCATCGTGTACACTGTGCTCGGGGACCATGAAATGAAGACGTGCGCAACCAATGAACACCAGGCTCTGAACCCAACCTGCGACAGGATCCATCTGTCCATCTAATCCCTAACAGAATGCGTATTGTACTGAACTCTCAAACCCAACATCCCTTACTGGTCTACCTGTGACCGTGCAGAAGCCATATTGATCTGAGCTCCGCCACCAGACAGCTGTGAGAGTCTCTTCCAGTCTTCAGGTGACTGAGCAGAATCCATTTTGGAGGGTCAATGACTTCCTCCACCACCCTGTGTAGCTTTGAACAAATCTGGAGATTGGCTGCTCAGGCCTGACAACGGCATCCTGGGAGAAGGGGGAAGCTCACATGCTTACCCCATACCTAGACACACCAGGTATATGCGAGGGCTCCAACAGATGAACGCAGCAGAAGGGAAGCCTGGCCAAGAGAACCTGTCACTTCGTCTGAGATAGGCAACCTCAGAAGCCGGCCATCTTGCCAAGCACAAATACTTGCGTACAGCGGTCACTTGCTCAATATATTGCCGTTATATACACCAAGCCTGCGCAATAAAACCCATTATACGTGTTGTTGGAGATCTATGTCCACCTTCAGACAAATGTAACAGATCTCAGTCGTCTCTGCACACTATCCCGGAACACATCCAATACAAAACACTATAATCCTCATCTCCCCCGTGTTCAAGTGATCATTACACATTCGGACAGCCTTCAACTCCCGGCGGGATCACGTAGACAAACGTCGATAGCATGTATGACACTCTGAAATGCTGCCACCCCCATCTCCGCCGCTGCCGGTTATCCCGGGCACCGCTGTCCCCCCCCCTGCAAGCCCAGGACTGGCACAGCAGCTGCCTATACTGAGGAGAGATCAGTATCTCCTCCCCACTGATCTCTCTCTCGGCGGAAGCGATGTGCATTACATCACTTCCGCCTTCAGCTGTCATTACTCTGGATGAGAGCTGATGAAGCAGATCTCTTTGGGGGTCCCCAGGTGACAGAGGTCTTAGAGACCCCTGATGTCTCCATAAAGAGGACCTGTCATTGTGTATTAGCCATCACATAGGGGGATTGTTAGCTCCCTAGCTGATAGCGAATATACAATGACAGGTCTTCTTTATGCGATCACATAGGGGCTTGTTAGTCCACTATGTGAAAGCATAAAGAGGACCTGTTTTAAGTGTAAAAAAAAAAAAAAATTAAATTAAAAGTCATATAAAAAATAAAATTAAAAAAAAAAAAACACCAAAAAATAATTTAAGTCCCCCGCCCCCACATACATACATACATACATATGGAAATACGCGTCGGGTGCTCCTACGTGCAAGAGCAATGATTACACCACATGTTACATATCGCCACGAACGTCGCAGTGAGAGCAATCATTCTAGGGCCATCAATCACTGATAACACTAAACTGATGAGCGGTAAAAGCTTTTAAAGCGTCGCCTATGGTCGATTTTAGGTATGGTAGTTGTTTGCGATTTGGCGGGTGCGCGCAATTTTAAAGCTTGACATGTTTGATGTCTATTTACCCGACTTTTATATTTTACCAAAAAATTGGGTAATAATCATTGTTTCCTAACATAATGCAGGGAAGTTTTTTTTTTTTCTAAATTTTCTTCATTATATAGTAAAAAATAAACCCCCTCCCCCCCCCCCAGTGGTAATTAAATATAACCAAAATAAAGCTCTATGTGTCCCCAGAAAATGGTATAAAATTCATTTCAGTACAGCGTTGCATGACGGAATAAACGTCAGTCAAAGTACCGCAGGGCTGAATACTGAAAAATGGGCGGGACAGGAAGGGGGTGTAACACCACGGTCAGCAAGTGGCTAATGTCCTCCAACACAGATCCCCCATCCGATCCGAGCCTCTCCACCCATACATTAAATTGGAACATTTTCACCTCTTTTCCACCCATATCGCACCCAAATAACAACGAGCTTTAATATCACACTTGTCCAATCACAGACTCTAACATGCCCATCGAGGTCGCGCTCAGTGTTACCGGGACAGACCCGAAAATCGTCAGTAATACGGCTTCATTGGGGGAGGGGAAAGTCAATATTTTATTTGAGAAAAATCCATAAAAGAAGAAATAGACATCTCGGCCAAAATGATCATTTTACATTATTTTTAATGGAGCCGGAACTCATCGCCGATGTAAAAAAGCACTCGGTGACACGGGGCTCGTTGACCCACATGGGTGACAAAAGTCCGTACGGTCCCTTCCAGTACAAAGGCGAAGGTCCTGCTGGATGGTCCTCTCACAAGTTGAGCAGCTTCTCATTGAGGGCGATCTGAGCCTGGGTGAGGTTGGCCAGGTAGGTGACCATGAGCAGGTCCTGTGGGGAAGGAAAAAGATTACCAATAAAAGGACTGCACACTACGGGGG